TAAGGTTAAACAGCCTCTATACTCAACATGTTTCGTTTAATATTCCAGTCCTGCTGGGGTGTTGACGAAATCTATGCGAGGTCGAAACTGCAGTCGACCCTGGATGACAATACCGACTGGGAGGCGAAACTAATTGAGAGTAAATGGAAACGTGAGATCTACTTATACCATTGTAGGAAAATTCAACCACAAGTCTTTCATCATCTTAACCGAACTATTGTGCACACATATTATTTACTTACTTATTTATGCCTAAAGCTACTTAATCAGTAGTTTGTCGTTGCCGTTGACTTAAACTAGGTGTCTAAAATCAACCAGACGATCGGCGAACTATCGGAGGCGGCATCCACTCCCTGCCGCGTGGACAGCTCGCACGAGACGGCCCTCCGCCTGCCCGGCAGTCGACCCTTCCTCGAACGGCTTGTTGAGATGCAGGACCATCTAAATTCCGCCTGGAATCGGCTCGCCGACGGGCTAGAAGCTCGGCGCTCCCAGCTTGCTGAAGACGCCGGCTACATCGGCCTCTGTCTCGAGTGCCAACAGACCGTCGGCTGGATGCAGGAGAAGCTGGAGACGGTGAAACTGATGACCGAGACAAAACGTTCTGGGGGCGCCGAAGGCCGGTCGGCGGCGCCGGTCTCGGAGGTTCGACCTGGACTGGGCGCCGGGTCACCGACCGTCGTCGAAGTGGAGCTGCGCGCAATCGAGGCCCGACTCAGTGAACTCGGAGACCGGATACGTCAGAGCGTGGAACACAGACGACAACTGGCCTCGATAGCTCTGGCCTCCGGGGCAGGTGAGTCGGCCAATTCACCACCGCAACTCACCTCAAGTGGGCATCGGTTCAGGCAAGGCACGTCTGGCCTCGAACGCTGGACCTGGCCTCAGTCTGAGCCTCAGTATGGGCTCGAACAATGCGATATACGCATGATCCAGAGAAGCATATCAACGAAGAGCTGAACAAAATTGCTTCCTTTCTGCCTATAAAGAGGCTATTTGCATGCCGACTGACTTGGAGACTTGGCCTCCAGACTGCATTCGAGCCAGGGGCTTGCATCGCCTACAATGTCGTGTCTCGAATTTCAACAGGACTAAGGCCGGGTGACCCGAATCCACAAATAAACGGTCGAATCCCGCTAAGACTGCTGACAGGGCGACAAGACGAGATGGAAACTACAGTTCATAAGGGGTAGAATATCTGGAACCTCCAAGTTATCGTAGAAAATAGTGGCAGAACCTCAATCTGGAGGACTGTCTGGCTATCAAGGCATCCTGAGACACTAAATGAGAAACGGGTTGATCATCAATTTATATATTTTGCCACCTATTTTTTGAAAGCAATAAGCCTTTTGGATTATGCTTTCATCACTGATTTCATCCAACATTCTTCTGTGCTCTTTCAGTAATACTTTGGTCACCCTAGGTCGCTTAATAATTAAATCTCTAACATTTAAATGAATAGGCCTTGTGATGCTGTTAAATTTCATTTCTCATCCTGGCTGGACTCCAGTTTCAACTGCGTCTCATGTCATCAGCACCCTCAACTGGACTCGAAACCGGGTCGAAAACATTATGACGACTCATTACCACTCTCCACTGCACAGACATATACAGTGGATCACTGGGAAGATGCTTTTTTACGACAGGTCAGGCTTCCCACAAAGAATATTTTATAGTGAAAATGTCGATGAGGCAAGCATAAATTTACCACCAAAATCGGAGACTACTTGTTTTTGATGTTAGTATGTTCTGAGAATATCTGTAAATCTCCACGTAAAAACATGCCTAATATTAATACAAGTAGTGGAGTCGAATAGTGTGAAAAATACATGTCTGCCTCATTGTCACTGCCCCTTGGCTCACAAATGCGGTCATATATGCCCTGGGAGTCCCTAGCACCCGTGGTTGCGTAGCGTAGTAGCGATTCGCTTTGAGGACGGTTGGGCGAGGTCGAAACTGCAGTCCACCAAGTACAATGCAATAGTATCGGGAAGCTTCATCATCAGTTCTTAAGTCACCTTAGGCAAGCTAAGGTAGCCAAGTTCTTTCATCTGTCGTTTCGGCAATTCTTCGGGGTTTTAGGGAGAAATCTGAGGAGACTATCAAGAGCTCTTCTGAAAATCTCCTGTTTCAACGACTGCTTCGCGTTATTGTTGATCATACTTCCATTTCGAGTGAAAGTGTTTGGTAAGCAGATTCGAAAGTCGATTCCACCAGAAAAAGACGGCGGATTCCTCTTGTCCAGCTGTCGATTGGCTTTAGGGGAACATTCATGCTGACGCTGCTTCCGAGGTAATCTCATTGGATTCCGGTGAAAAGGTGTTAAACCTTCGTGCGTCATATGACGAACATCATCAGAGAAAGGTATCATCGTTATAACCAAATTTAAACTAACGAATTTTCTTGACTCGTTACCTTGGATTTGGTTATGATGTTCGTCATATGACGGGCGAAGGCTTATCATCTTTTCACTAGAATCGAAGGAGATTACTTTGAAAACAGCGTCTGCATGAATGTTCAGGTAGAGCTAATCGACAGCTGGTCAAGAGGAATCCGCCGTCGTCTTCTGGTGTAATCAACCTGCGAATCTCTTCACCGAACACTTTCACTCTAGATGGAAGTAAGCTCAACAATTATGAAACAACAGATTCCTCGAAGTCCAACTTTTTTTCGTATATGCTTTGCGTTAGACGAGAAAGTGCGTGATTAGATGCGTGAGTTGCAGTATCATTGAGACTCGATTTGGTACAAAAACATACTTTTTGCCATTGGAACCAACGTCGAACTTCAGCTCCTCCTTGCCTCTTCCTGGAACCAGGTGTAGTAGTCTTGAGAGTTAAAACGTAATTTGATGGGAAGTTCATTATAAACTCATGAAAATTTCACCTTATTTGTTAGAAAAGGTCCACGAGTTGCATCAATTTGAGCTAGTCTTGGCATTCTACCAATACCCCATCTGCCCATGATAAACGGAAGCGGAGGTTTGATTTTTGCAATGAATTATGCTTTGCCATGTCCTCCAAAAGGCACTTTTGCCCTACAGGAGCTACGGTCTCGGCTTCGCCTACTAGTCCTATCAGTGCCCCCGGAGAAGTTCTGACCATGGACATGTAAACGGATTCGGCTTAGGGACATTCTCTTAGCTTCCGCTAAACCCGAATGCCTGTGATTCGAGTCTTGCTGTAATTGACGATGCAACGATGAAGCAATGTCAAAACTGCCCTGCGGCCAGAATGAGAGGAAAAAATAAGATTTATTAAAAGATCGAGCAATACATCATGCTCTACTCTACATCGAATAGAAAAGCCATTTAAGACTAGTCTGGCTCTTCAACCTCGTTTCAAGCACGAAGAGCGTAGCCTCACGCTTGAGGGTGAGTGTGACATGAATCTTCATTTATAAGAAAAAGTTGGTTGGAAGGAATTTGGCTATTGGTCTCATCAGAACCCAAAGAAGGATTATCCTTAAATGAAGACTGTTGGGCTATGCAAAAAAGTCCTCGATTCATCGTCCTGCGTCACCGATGAACCCATGCTATGCTTTTTACCCTTATTTGAAAGACATTTTCAGAGCGAAACATTATGGCACAGCAAAGCACTAAGGGATTCTTCAAAATCCAGCAATAAGATGACCATCCGAAACTCCAGTGGACTGCAGTACACCCAAGTCTAGGAAGAAAGGCCACTTGTTCGGTGCCAGCTCGTCTATCTCGGAAGGCGGCTGGTAGATACTTCTACTTTCTACCACCAGCCCGCAAGCCTCACATCAACTTCGCCTAGTCACAACAACTAAGAAAGGAAAAATAGTTTTGGAAAACAGGACTTTCTTGATTTTTTTTGGGGTGTGGGCAACTTAGGCAACCAGATGTCCCCTTGAGTCGCCCCGAAAGGCGAAATCCCGGGTAATTTTGCCGAACAGACGAGGATCTAGGCTATGGAGAAGGCTCAGAAATCCAGTTTTTGTTTATAGGCAAGGTTTCGAGATCACCAGTATACTTTTGCTTCGTCGACAATTCCACCATAGAATGTGATATTGAAAGATGCCTGGCCTTCCTTGAAATGCACATCTTTCCTGTGATCCAATGTCACTTGTGGCAAATTGACGAGATTATACGCTGAGCTGGCATGCTTAGAGTCCCGTTGGGGGTTTTGATAAGACATAGGCAAGGTTGAAACTGCAGTTCACCCTGGATGAGGACACCTTTTGGGAAAGCAAGGCTATGTGCAGTTAAAGGGAGGAGACAGCTCTATTCATATATTTATTGGAAAATTCAACTACCAGTCTTTCGAGATACGAAGCGAAACTGGGTTTCGATGAATATTTTGAGATAACATTGTTGGGGGGACTTTCATTTCATTGAAAGGGCAGTATAACGAGATTTATCCGTCCTTATCTGGTGTGATCGACCAACGAATCTCTTCTTCATGTACTTTCATACGAAATGAAAGTCTCACCAACAATAGCAGTCTTTCATCACTTTAGACGAAAAATGGTAAATACAGTGTTTATACCAGATCCACTGGTCGTCTCGAGAACACACTTATAAACGGACAGTAAATTCTTGTTTAACTCCCCAAAATCATGTTTCATATTCCACATATTACTCTATTTGTTGGCTTCTATTGCCTCATATACAAATCCATTCTCCGCATGTGCTCACAAATACTTCATTAGCTGTGGAATTACTTAAAGAAAAGGTGGAAACGGTCTATGCTCCTTGCTTTGTCAAAGGATCGCATATTTTTTCTAAAAAAAGAGCGATACAGCCTTTTATGATACACAGATGGTGAAATGCCTGTATGTTATTGAAGCTGGAACGGTCGTAAGGATTTTGATGTGCTCAATTTGGCTTGTATGAGTGCTCCCCATTTTAAAGAACACATTTTGGAGGTTATTCACCGGCCCACAATTATCACCTTGTGTAAAACTCTCATTCACTCGCATGTCCAACGTATTCATCAGGCATTTTTACTTTTGATACCTGACTTGCTATCTACCATTTGTCAACCCTCCAGACGAATCCGAAAATAACCTGCCAACTGAGGGTCTGATCAGGCAGCAGATGCGTCTAGATTGGCTGTGGGAGCAATTGTCATCCGCGGTGAAGGAGTGGCTCGATCAGATGGATGCTGGGGGACAGGCGAAAAAGTGCAGTGACGCCCTGAACAACTTCCAGACTTGGTTGGTCAGCATTCAATCCGATGTGGCCGTCTTCGATATGCCGTCTGACCTTCAGGTGGGTGACATTTGATTCCATCCTCAAGCACTGACTGGGCATTCATTTTACAGACTCGTGAGTTGATCCCACCAGAACATTATGGCGATTTCTTTTTACTCTTTTGTCTGCTTTCCGATTAACTCTTTTCTCGAGAAAACCTTTTTCGGTTCTGAGGAGTGCGTACTATGCTTTTGTCTATCATCTATCATGTTGTAGGCATCGTATGAACAGTGATGCATGTCTAACCATTGGCAGACATGGAAGGATTTATGCTGCGATACCACCATTTCGAATGATAAGGTGAGTTGAAGGCTTTTGTAAATTGGGTTGTGCAAACTAGCTCTCGGATCATAGCTGAGTTTGCGTCTGTCATGAAATGGAGTTAGTTTATGCCAGAAATTATCAATTACATGCAATCACCAAAAAACATTAAGCCAAGCATAGCGACTATGTAAAAGTATTAGGGCATAATCTTAGCTCGACGGTGTGTCAGTGCTTGATTGAAGTTGTCGGCATTAGTGGTTGCCTGACTTCAGATAAATAAAATGGGAATCGGAAATCGAGTGTACACCTACTTATTATGCTAGAATTGAGTATAATGGGAAACACGTGCGTATTTTAAGTGCATCAAAGTTTCGTTTGATTTTTATATGCACTCAAAAGGTCGTAATCATCCGGCCTTGAGTTTAGCTTCAATCTCGTCCTACCTTGGCAGTCATGCCGAAATCGAGCCTTCTCTTCAATAAATCATCGACGAACTAGTCATAGGTTCAATCGGAAAGAGGTATAAATGGGTATATCGAGATAGAAACACATGTTTCCTTTCTTATTCCTGTGAAGAATTTTATGCAAAATGAAGGCCTTTACAGCAATTTTATCTCAGTAGATTCATCAAAACCGCATTTCCTTTGTATATGCTCTCTCATTGCATCTCTATCATAGAAGTGCGCTGTGGTAGGGTTGCTTAAGGGTCAATTCCGTCCATCGATTCATCGATGAAAAGGTCGTCTATGGCAAGAGATAGCTTATCTGCCTCTTGACTATACACATTCTAGATTCGGATCTCGGTGAGGGAGATTGATACGCCTAGCAGGAACGGGCTTTTAACATGCTGTAATAGCTTTGATTTCTTTTAAAAAGGCGACTAGAAGAGGATCGTAAGTTGGTCAAATAGTGTATGATGAAAGGTTCTTTGTTTAGGGACGTGTAATGATTGTTCATCAATCATGGTTTCTGGTTCTGACGATGTCCATCTGATGATGGAGCAAAGCATCGTGGGGATCGCAGGACGGTAAGCACGGCCTTCCTCATGCAAAACTCCTTACCGTCTACCTTTTCAAGCAAAATGAAATGTATGCTAGCATCAAGTTATTAAAGGAATCATCGAAACTCAGCCTCTCTTCATGCATACATACGGATTTAATTAGTTTCCGCGATATCTTTCTTTATTGATGTACATGACGGCAGATGTCTAGGTGCCTGTATGTGCGGTCACACGAAACCGTAGTAATGGTTAACAGTAATCCGAACAGATCAGAAACATCAATCTTAATTTCATCAAGTCTTAATGGAATTTCATTCTTAAAACAATAAGATTCATCCCTCAATTTCCTAATGCTAGACACTTGTTAGGCTGAGCTTGTTAGTCTCCTAAATTTGGGCGTACAAATTGTGACTATAATTAGAGCCTAAGCTAACGACATTGGATGACTCCCATTCTTTTTGAAAGTGGCTCAAATCTCTCTTTTCCTTGAATCTATCAATTAATCATAAGAGTTCTTACTTAGTTTTTTACCCGCTAATCTGTTAATTTTAGTGGGCTTGGCAACAGACATATCATCATCCATAAGAAGAAGTGTCTTAGACTATTCTATTTAATGCCCAGTTTCTGACATGTGCTTGGTCACTTCTAAGCTCTGTGCCAAACAGCCTTTACAAGCATTTTTGGGCTATTTTATTCAAATAAATTAGGTTTTCGACTTTCAACGAATCTAGCATAAGAGTTCACGGTGACCCTAGGTCGTATAAGGTCATGAAGGATTGATAGGTGAATTTTACTCATTTATATAGAAGGGCCTAACGCATATAACGTTGCTTCTCAGAAGGTGTTCTCATTCATATTAGACTGCCTTTTTGGTCTTGCTTAAGTCTCAGTACCATCCCCAGCAGAAATCTAAATCGAATGGGTTGATTAGTCGTGAAGACCAGAGAGAGATAGAGTTGTGCCTCCGACAAAAAGAAGGTGACTTAACCTGTCGGCTCCGTGGTAATTCCAACTGCATTTACACTCGTTCAATAGGTAGGTCTATTAGATTCATCAACCAAACCAAACTAGCAAGATTCGCAAAGCAAATCATGCTTTATCTTGGGTCGTTCAGTCTTAGTGGTCCTTAGCCGACGGGTTGTGACTGGTGGTTTTGTAACCTGACCTATACGTGTGCAAACTTACATTTTGTCATTTCAACCAGAGTTACTTTCGGATTATAGCCATCTCGATCATCAAGCCTTGATGACCCGAGCCTGATGTTTGTCATAGCCGGTATTGCGTACACACGTTAGTGCACTCACATACTCAGACAGACATACACGAGTATAGGTATTCTGATTAATATTACAGCGAACTAACCAAATCATCGAATGATGATATCTGTACTATAGCGAAAGAAAGTCCAGTACGGATTTAACGAGGCGGTAGGACGGTGTGCCGAAGACTTCGTCGCACAAATCATAAGTTACAATTCCAGAAAAATCCTTATTCCATTGCAGATAAGTCAAATTTACGATTATCGTCCACTTACCTCATAAAATGCAAACAACATTCCACAGGACGATGAGCGAATGAAGGAAAATGTAAATTTTTATATTTAGCTATAAATTATTTTTTCATAATCTTTTGTAATGTTTTGCATTTAAAAGTAAGAATGCTCGGGATTCGGTAAATCTCCTGAGATAACTTTGTTGTGGAGATTCTTATTTCGCATGAAAGAGCATGATGAGCTCACCGGAAGACGACCACCGATTCCCGCTGTTGGTTAACACACATACGGACACCTTCAAGCAAAAATGACCTTAGTGATATGAAAGAGAACTAGCCAAATCATTATATATCCATCTAGCTATACCTTTATATATGGAATATGATGATCGTTTTGACGTACGGCTTTTGCATGAATGACTTCCAGCTCTTTCGATGTTCGTCATATGACGGAACGAAACGATTGCTACATATAAGTTATCTTTAGGCGAATCCTTTTCTAAGACACTTAGCTCAGGCCTGTATACTCCAAAGTATATACGCCTAGTGGCTGGGCCTTGATGGATAACTTAAGATAGCATTGTTATGGAGACGTTCCTTTAGTATTAATGTGCATTGGGAAGAGATTCGGGGTTTAATCTTGCTGGTAGGCGATGGCCGGTCCCCGTTGTTCCGTGTACTCCGACTTGTAAGTGTAGAGACGTTAGCACACGTGCAGACACACTCAAGTATAAGTAACATGATTATAATGAAAGAGAAATAAACAAATCATTTTATTTTCATCCATATCTATATTTTTTGTTTGTAGTTATGAGTATGCATTGCAAGGGACCTAATGTCGACTTAGTGGCTTGCAAGAATTAATTCCAGCTCTGATGATGTCCTTCAAATAAAGGATGAAAGGTTAGTCGGATTTACCCAGAAACGAGGGAGGATGTTTAGTGGACTTCGTCATCCTTACCTTTGTATTAAAACCAGAATGGGGGCAGAGCCTTAGGAATGAGCAGTAGTTTTCCGGTTAGATCGACCTATGAATCTCTACATTTTACACTTTCATACAAAATGATAATCTCGTCAACGGGCCTTTTGTGTCAATTGGGAAGCACACTGACTGTATATTTTTTCAGTGCAGACATCTTGAGCAGCGGACGATCTTGAATTCATCCACCGGCCATAACCGTTCTCCGATAAAAGCGATATACTACGCTCTTCTTCGACTATGCTCACATGACAAGATTGCAACCCAACTTGTCTGACCCTAATAGACTCCTCGTAATCTGGTCTATTTGCCAGTTCACAGTATACAGTTTGACGATTTTTTCGGAATAGCCAACCAAACAACCATAAAATCTGTGGTTTTAAAACGTAATTCAAGAAAAATTGTGCCATTCTTCAGAATGCCTACTAAGTGTTTATTCTATGCTTTCCTGGAGGGCCAGGCGAAACATCAAATAAAGACTTTGTCATTGGCAAATTTATTTCCATTTACAAGATTAAAATACTTTGTCGCAAGTCTCAAGTTTAATGACAAGCAAACGGTGATCTTGGTATATAAAGTGGCCATGAAATAATGTGAACTGAATGAAGCCTTCTTTGCCTTGAACGTCATGTCCACCATTGAAGACAATCTGTCTCGGGTATGGGCGAGTTTCCTTCTTAACATGCATGACTAACCTTCAAATCCCTTCCGATGAGAGGATAACGCGAGATTGAAACCAAGCTCCAGCCAACATGAGAATCACTTTTTATGATACACGCTAACGTGAGGAATGCAAAAGTCAGGCCGTCACATTTCATTATAGCTAGATTTTCGATTATTACCCTGGGCTGAGTATCGATAATAGTAGGGTTTTAGATAGATGGAAGAGGATCTATTACTTTAAACGCGCCAGTAGTGGGTCGTGTTTACTTACAAACACGGTGGTTTATTGATACAAAATTTCCCACAAAAGATTATGTAAAATGAGAGAAGCTTGTGTTGCTTTGAGGAATGCATGGAGTGGTGAAAGGTAATGCAATAAGTGGGCATTGTCTTCACTCAGCTTAACTCAGCTTAGCTATCTGCAGATCATAAAACCCAGACTTAAATGGTACACTACTTCAACCGAATTCGCCCGTGGACTCAAATAATTCTGGTATGAATCCCGTTGGGCTAGTTGTTAGGATCTTAAGGCTATAAAAGCTACACGGGAAGCTATTTAGTGTGGAGGTTTCCCAGTGATGTAAAGGAAAACACAACTTTACCCTCTGTTTCATCATCACCGCTACCCAAACACCAAGCTGTCTCTGGTTCATATACATATAACTTGGTTCTCAGGGTCAAGATGACTTTTACGTACCTCTAGATTGTAAGCCCTTAAGTATAAGTTTGGTAGTAAGAAAGCA